ATCAAGATTGTTCAGAGCGACAAAGGCAATGTCACTGTAGCAATGTACACTAGGGACTATATACAAAAATGTGAAGACTTATTAACAGACACTAAATATTATAAAAAGTTAAACAACAATCCTGTGTGTACTCTGCAACAAAAGGCTAATAAACTAGTTTCTGATTTGGTAAAGGAGAATCAAATAGATCAATCAGTTGGGAAAACTTTGAAAATTTATAATTCAATTGCTCCTAGATTTTATGCACTTCCAAAAATTCATAAACCTACTTTGTCTATGAGACCAATAGTTTCCTCAATAGGTACACCTAATGGCCCCATAGCAAGTTTTTTAACCAATATTCTCACAGAAACCTACAGTAACAATGATTTCTGCATTCAGGACTCTTTCAGTTTCAGTTCTTTTATTAATAACTTAAAATTACCTATCAATTATAAGCTCGTTAGTTTTGATGTAGTGTCTTTGTTTACTAATTTACCTTTACAAACAATTTTGGTTAGTGTTGAGAAACACTGGGATGACATATCAATGCACACAACTCTTAACTTATCTAATATCAAAAAACTCATTTCTTTTGTTTTTGACTCTAATGTTTTTATTTTTAATGACTGTTACTACAAACAAGTCTTTGGTACTCCCATGGGGTCCACCATTTCACCAATTCTTTGTAATTATGTCTTAGACGATTTGATTAAAGATTGTTTGCAACAAATCAATTTTGAAATACCTTTTATAAAAAGATACGTGGATGACTTAATCTTGGCACTACCAGCAGACTCTATACAATTTACTTTAAATGTTTTTAACCAACAAAACCCACATTTGCAATTCACGTGCGAGGAAGAGCGGGAGGGATCTTTGCCCTTCCTTGACATGCGTTTGCATAGATGTGAGGATAATGTTGTGAAAACACAATGGTATAGAAAACCTATATGTAGCAATAGATTCATAAGCTACCATTCCCATCATCCTCCTAAAATGAAAACCAACCTAGTCCTAGCAATGAAAGAACGTGTCAAAAGGTTATCACATCCAGATCATCTCCAACATGATCTTAACCTCTTACGGAATATTTTTGTTGAAAATTCATATCCTCTAAGACTGATTAATAAATTAATTTTTAATGTTCCATTTGTTAACAGAAATAACATTCTCACTAATTCTCAATCAGTGCCCTCAGCACAAAACAATTCTTCTCAAACAAGTGTGTATTTTTATGCCCTTCCGTATATTCCAAAACTAACCGTAGAACTTACTAAAATTTTCAAAGAATTTAAGAACATCAAAATAGCTAACAAGAACATCAAAACCATACGTCAGCTATATAGCAAAATAAAACAACCCCTAACTACTTTAGAGTCAAGAGACGTTGTTTATTGCATTCAATGTACTGAATGTCCATCCACGTACATTGGTGAAACTGGAATAAATCTGTCTAGTTGTATCATTTCTCATAAGAGTGACTGTAGACTAAATAAACCCACTTGTGCTTTGGCAGAACACACTATCGATCTAGACCATAAGATAGATTTCAACAATGTTAAAATATTAGCCAGAGAGAACATTCTTAGAAATGGTACATATCAGCAGGAGTGATAACAACAATCTGAATAAAAGATCTGAGATCCAGAATCTTAGCAAAATTTACAATTTTATTTTGACTTTTGACTAGGGTTTTCTGTATCTCAGAGTGCTTCATGTTTCGTAAATTCCATTATTAATTGCTATAATTATCATGATTAATTTCAGTTATTATTCAGATGTTCATTTTGTTTGGGTTGTTTGTTTTTTCAAACCTACTTACTAAATACTATTTTCTTTTTATTTTTTGACATAATAAAACCTTTTTTTAAATTTCCCTCTCAATTCTAAGTTGGTAACATGGTTGGTAGTACTTAAAATCACAAACGGCATTTTGTTAGACATCAGTTTGAAAGTTTGTTTTTTGTAGTTACATCGAACTATTTAAACAACAATAGTTCCTCCTACTACCTCTTTCTGTTCGTGAGATGTGACTGAATTCAAACCTGCGAAGACGACTGTTTTTTGTCAAACATGTCGTCTTATTTTTTACTTTTTAAACTTTGTAACATGTTCTTTAATTTTTAAGTATTTTAAAGTTTTTTAAAATTTTTAATGCCTTCAATAATTCAGATCACATTATGTTATTTAACGTTGTGTTTTATATGCTATGAATCTTACTTTCTGGTAAGTTTTTATAACTTTTATATTACATCAGCCTAATGTTATAACACAGTAATTTTCATTGTAGACCTTGATAAAGGTGGCAAATAACCACCGAAAGCTCGGTTTCAGAATAAATAGTACGCCTTAGCAAAGCTCTATTTTTTATTGACTACCACACCCAAAAAGAAAAAAGTATTTACATATTTTTCCAAACTAGTCAAAAAATTTTGGACTACCTTGTCTATATATATATATATATATATATATATATATATATATATATATATATATATATATATAAACCGGAAAAAATCCAGATTTTTGCTTTAATCTGTGCCTTCCAAGAATTACAAGGCAAAACAGACGATGCTAAAGATGTAAAGAGAGAACATGGGAATCTAAAAATTGTATTCCACAACATATCTCCTTATCTAAGCAAAAATCCTTGTCGAGTTGGTTTCTTGTACTCATAAAGAGTATATCGAAATAAAAGAAAAACGGTTAAGATTTGATTTCACGTATAGTGCCTCTGTATATGGGCTTATACGTATTTTATCCTAACAGAACTCATCACAGCGATTTTTACAGAAGCTCTAAAAAGCTTTTGTACGAAAGGCATTTAGATAAAACATCGTGTCATTGAATGTGTTTTTTTAGAATTGCTGCTTCAACCATTAAAGTTTATTACCGGATGTTACAGTTACTAGATATACTAATTATAAATTACAAAATAATATATATATATATATATATATATATATATATATATATATATATATATATATATATATATATAGTAAATATATGTCCTTAAGGAATTTATTTTGGTTCTGCTTGTATGTTGTTAATATCTCTTTCGTAGAAATTAAGAGGGCATTCAATCAATATGTTGGATAGTTATTGGACATTCACAGTAGGAACATTCAGGTGGTAGCTATTCTATTATGAGATGCTGGTGAATTAAAGCTGTATGCCCAATTCTTAATCGGGATATAATTGCCTGTTGCCTTTAACATTTTTTACATGTTTAGCCTTATTAGAATTCCACATTGGTTGTCAATTTTTACAGTACTGGGTAATATTGAGCTGGATGTCAGTGAATAGAATTGTTGTCATCATTTCTGTTTACTCGTCAGTAGCAACTTTCTTTGCCAATTTATCCACTTTTTCATGTCCTGTGGTACTTTTGTGTGACGGTACTCAAACGTTAAAAAGACGGTAACGTTTGTTTGTCTATTTTGTGAGTAGTAAAATGCAAGTTGTATATGTTGCAGAATAGCATGTGTTAGATACATTTTCCTTAAGCTCTAAAAAACAGATAAAGAGTCAGTAATAAGAAGTTTAAGCTTGCATGACCCTTACATACGTCTAATGTCTTTAAAACAGCGTTTACTTTTTTCGTAAAAATGCTACAGAATTGTGGAATCCGAATTGCATATTATTCAGTATTTCCTAGTATGAAGGTCGCTGTAGATCCGATTTCAGTTCTTGATGCATCAGTAACAATCTAGTTATAGCCAGTGTCTTTTGATATTCGTTCTTGATATAGATTGATAATCATTATGGGATTTGTGGTACTATTTTGATAGAGCGAGAGGGATATATCAATAGTGGCAGTATTATTATTCCAGGGAGGTATAGATCGTTGTGTAGGATAAGAATATATCAGCTGGCCCAGGTCAAAACCATATATCGTTAAAAGTTTTTAAGAGGTGGATATTTTAATTTTTTAAACCAGTAAGTGTTTGAATGGGGTTTGTATAGAAGTTTAGGTTATTAGGGTTGGAAGACAATCTAGCAGCATAATTAAAAGAAATGTGCTGTCTTCGTATCGATAGTTTGATTCATCTAGAATAATCTGAAAACTAGAAATAGGACTAGTTTGGTAAGCATTCATTAAATATTCTACTATGAGAGATCATGTGGTAAGCAGAAAAATGCGGGATTTATTATTTTTTTCTTTTCTATTTTTAAGCAATGAAAAAAAAGCACAAAGAACTGTACATTGAACTCCACAAAAAACACATTAAAACAGTTGGTTATAGTACGGGCACAGAATAATAAACAATCAGAATGCTCTATGGAAAATTAAGTACGCGCATCTCGTTCAGGCAGATGTTCCGCCATGTTTTAAAGGGAACCAGTGTTGTTTATGTGGTGTGCTTAGTAAAATTAACCCGGTTTAATTGACTTCGGCAATCATAGACATACTGTACAATTATATTAACATTGTTAAATATAATAACATAAATATAATATAATTAAACATAAATATAAACAATTACATAACCTCACAAATCACATGTCTGTGTTATGTGTTACATCTGAGAGTTACCATTCTGTTTATTATTCTGTGGTACGGGTGTGTATGGGAGTTAAAGCAGCAGATAAATAGAGTGAGCAAAATCGAATGCCAGCCCTTTAAATGATTTTTCAGAGATGACAATTGACATATGTATGTCATAGAAAATTAAGATTTTTAAATTATCGAGAACTTGTTGAATTGAAAAACATATTAAAAGAAGACTTGTATCAAACACTTTGCAAAATTTTGTTTTTTTTTTAATTGATGATTTAAATCATCATAGCATCATAATGAAAATGCTGAAAATTGACTCAAGGTCAAAGTAGATTCTAAGTAAGATATAAAGAAGAAACTAGATTGTGATGTTTCCCAGTATGACACTTAAGTGTTTTTTTAAATATAGAATTATTAAAATTACAACAGAACACTACTCTTCCCTACGTACAGATTAAAGCTAATAAGATGTATTTTAATATCTCATCAAAATATTTTATAAAAATGTACTTACAGATGGACTAATTGACTTTTAAGTTCTACGTCGTCTGGACTGATAAATTCTTCATTGTGATTCCGATAACCTTGACTGAATTGTTTTTCATGTTCTCTTAGTACCGGTGTACAAACTTTTATTAATATTGTACTCAATGAATTTAAAATGGCAATGACATATAACATAATATAAATTTTGGGACCAGGCGTTAGTCTTTGAACGATTTCTACTAAAACCCATGCTGTAAAAGTTTGTATAAAATTGGCCAAAATATTTCCAGCGTTATTAATTAAATATGGGTAATAAGTATGTACAACTTCAAAAGGAAAATATCCTTTATCAAATCCTAGAGTAGTAGCGTACACTAGGATGGACAACGTTGGAATCCATGACATATTATTAAAGTTTATCTGATAAGATTTTAAGGTAATATACGAAGCTAGAATTACTATGGAGAGACTGCACGCAATGTGACTAATCCAGTTATGCAAGAAAAAACTTCTGGCGTTATTTTTATTTAAAAAACATATAATCATAATTATAATGATGAATATAGTGCAAATTGCTGTATTGTATGAATCTTTTACATCACAAATTTCAAGAATGTCTTCTAAAAACATTATAAAAACTGTAATTCCGCTGAATTGTTGTGCAATCATAGATAATGAAATGGAGAGGCATGACATTTTATTTGATGTAAGTGAAAAAATATTTTGTCTTTTGTTATTAATCTTAGATTTTAACACAGAATTAATTATAATATCGTGTTCACTTTCAACAAATTTTGTATTTCGTAATTTTTCTAAAGCTATTTTAGCCTCAAATTTTTTGTTATTCCAAACAAGAAAATATGGTGATTCTATCGTAAATAGAGATGCTACCATTTGAATAAGCGCAAGAGCTGCTCCTAATATGGCAAATGCAGCTACTGATATGAAAGAACTAAGCATATATGCCAATAAAACTCCAAATAATATTCCATAATATATAAATCTACCGCTGTTTCTTAAATTTTGTGGTTCAATATCGTGAATATACTTAGGACTTGATATTAATGTTATTGACAGACATGTCCCTGCTAGTATACGAGCAGCATGTGTTGTAATTATTGCACTTTGTACAGCTATGGGTATCCAAGAAATGACTAACAATATTCCAGATATAAACATTAGTTTTTTAGTGCTTAATTTGTAGCTTACAACACAAAGTAGTACACCGATGCAAGATCCTAACAAATAGAACGTCCTATATAAATTTCGACTATCATTATCACAAAAAGTGTGCGTGTTGCTGCTGATATTATGTATCGATGTGTTGCAAAGTGGAATAACTGTAACAGGTGAAAGCCCCAGATGCATACCATTGGCAACAGCGCCAACGATCCCTAAAAATTAATAGAGGTAATTATTTGTTGGTCAACTTTAATAAAAAAATCTTATTATGTAATAAAATAGTGTTTTGACCAAAAATAGAATTATATTACAAAACTATATTCATTTAAAAGAAAACAATAAAAAGTAATCGCTCATAGCGCGGCTAAGGATTTCTCATAGAAATTTAATGATGTAATCATTGGGATAAAATGAATCCTAAATGTATATACCTTATTATTATTTTTTTATTAGTTTTAAAAATACATACAATAAAGAAAATAAATAATCTATAACTAAAATTTAAAAAGAAAGTCGTGATTTTAACAGTCAACTCATTTTGGGTGATATTAAGAACCTTAAAAAATGAATAAGTAAAATAAAACAGTCCAAACCAAAGTCAGTTCTGTTTGAATCTCATTGGAAATCTGTTTGGATCGAACAGATCTATATGGAAATTTCTAACTATGTGATCACTGATGATGGTCTGATCAGACCGAAATCATTTTGATGAAATTCCAATCCGTTTGGAAATCCGTTTTTACTGCAATATTTTTTGTATTTACTGAGATCGGCCTAAGTCAGGCAACATATTTGTATTAAGAGAAATAGTTCAGCGTCAAAATGAATTTATTCAAAAAATTACAAAAGGAATTCGAAAAAGTGTTAATATATATAAGTGTTCAAATTGAAACTCATTTTAATCAATGCATTTACTGCAACATTTTACAACGGAGAGGTCCGACGAAGTATATACAGATCTTCACATTATTCTTCAATTGCAGTTCGGAGGTTGGGAAGAGTACGTGGTCCTCTTGCAAAAACGAGGTCCTTCAGAAGGCCCCACAGGAAGAAAGCACAGGGTTTCAGGTTACATGACCGTACGGACCACTTAACGATTCCTCGTTTGCCTATCTATTCTCCAAAATAAACATTAAGGTACTCCTGCACACGTACCGCGTAGTGCAGCGAAGCTCTATCCTGCAGGAACTGACAGATGTTCGCGAGTGTTAGATCGTTGTACATTTGCCCACATTAATCTTTGAGCATTTCCAGGTAACTTTAGCTTATCACGTTGCCCTAATAAAGTACGAACCTACAAGACCTCCCGCATGGTTACCTGCCCATACACCAACCCCAGGCAGGTTTAACTCTTCATCAATGAAGGATTCTGGCCCTGACGGCCCTGATTCTAATTGAGATTTTGACTCAAAACATGTCGAAATTAATTTTCTTTAACACCTGTGCGGTGTTTGTATACTGCTATCTGGTCACAGATGACCAATTATCAGTTATTTTCTGACCTAACTTAATAACAGCAAATACTTAAATCTAAGAGCTTACCCTATGGCTTACTCTTAATTTATCTATCAACTAATGCACTACAACTAACATTCAATAACTTCACAGCACTATACTCTGCTTTTTACACTAAGCCGTTACACATTTTCACTAACTCAAATGGTTTTGTCCCTATGAGTCTTCTCTTTAGTGCAGTATTGCCAAGAAGCTGGATTGCCTCGACATTTACATGACTATGCAGCCTCTGCTCGTGACTTGCTGCTGTTCTCTTGATTATTTCGATCACACTTTCTATACCCAGGTCCTGGTGGAGGTTGCTGTTACGGATATACCAAGAAGCATCAACAAGGTTTATTAGTACTTTGTTTTGAAATCTCTGGATAATATGTAGATTACTAGCTTTAGTACAGCGCCAGATTTGGCTCCCATATACCCATACTTGCCTCAGTACTTGCTTATAGATGGATAATTTATTATGAATTGATAATGTTGAATTTTCTCCAATCAGCCAATACAATTTCTTATATCTAATATCAAGCTCCCCTCTTTTTTTTTTGACATGGACTTTCCAGCGCAGCTTCGCGTCTAGGGTGATGTCCAAGTATTTTGCTGATGTTGCATAAGGAATTCGAATATCATTTATTCTAACTGATTAGTTATAACATCTCAGTTCTTCACCATCATTGTTATTGGGTTTGAACGTGCTTTCTAAATTATCTGCAAATGGTTCTGCTTTCTGTTCGTTACTTCTAGCCCAGTTGCCGTTTTCCAACTTGATAGGAGGAGAATGAATAATTGGTGTCTTCATTCTTTTTGTTTCCTTCCATAACGAATAATCTGTGTTCTGATCAGCTGTTAAATTACTTAAAAAATAATTAATTGTTGAATTTTTTATATTCTGTATCTCCCTTTTTAGTTTTTGTGTAGCATTATTTAGACTAGTTTTGTCTCGTGGAGCTCTGTATTGCTGCCATTTTTTTCTTAACTTACTTTTTTCAAATGCGACTTTGCGAGCCTTGTGGATTTCAGCTGAACTAACCAAAGAACGTCACTAATTTTCGATTTATCAAAATTAATTTCAACTTCAAGAAAGTGATTGAAATTTAATTTCGAGTCGAAATTAATCTGACATGACTGGCTGGACCTTAGACAAGGTCCAGCCAGACACTCACACACCATGATGATTTGCCAGTGGCGATGTGCGTTGAGGGTTAAACTTCCATAAAATATTTCATAAAATTCCATAAATAAGTAAATAAATAAATAAATTTCGTTAATTTTGATTTCAAAATATTTGTATAAAATAAAATAAATTAAATAAAACATTTAATGTACAAAAATGTTTCATTTTAAATACGAATTAGTCAATCCTTAAAAATACAAAGATACGCCGCTGACCACTTCCTCTGGTGACAGTTTAGCTTCACTTTTAGCGATACGGTTACGCGTACTCTCCCTTTCCTTGTCTATGGGCTGGACTGGGAGCAGTAAGGTTAGGTTCAGTCATAGATAAGGTTTCAGTTTAGGCGGTGCTGTGTTTTGTTTGGTTCTTGCAAGGAAGACTGAGGCAAAAAGTATTAATGTGTCTGCGTTTTATGGACATTTACTGGTTTTTTAGGAATTAGAGCGGATAGATATCCGACGCTCACAACGGAGGTTAAAAACAATGTTACGGGATACTCAAAACCTTTTTTACTAAGTGATGCTCAATTTAGGTAGCAATTCCGGCTTAATAATCAAGCTGCAAATTATTTAATAAGGGTATTAGAACCATATGCCTCTAAGATACCCAAAATGTTTAGGGTAAGTATTACTAAGCTGCAGTAAATTTAAAAATATATATGAATATTGCCACTAAGTCAAAACTTCTATACGTTTTAGGCAATTTTACATTTTTATGGTGCCGGGAGCTACCAAAGGGGCCTAGCTAACAATTTTTTAACATGCGTTAGTCAGTCAAGCCTCGCTATATTACAGAGGTTACTAATGTCGTAATTAGGCATTTGACAAGAAGATGGATTAAATATCCAAGAAATGATGTGGAAAGAAATTTAAAGAAACCCAGGTAATATTGTGGTTAATATTATGGTTTTATATATATATATATATATATATATATATATATATATATATATATATATATACATATATATATATATATATATATATATATATATATATATATATATATATATATATATATATATATATTACAAATTATAAACTCTAGGTAAATTTCTACATTAATTATTTGTTTTATTGTAGATATGTGATGCAGACATGAACATCATAAATATATTAGCGTAGTCGCCGGATAGCACTCATGACGCATTTATTTGGCGTGCCAGCCGAATTGGAAGAGCTCTGCGTGCTAATTATGATAATGGTTAACGTGATGACAAAATAATGGGTATGTGATAATTTATATATTATATTGTATGTAGCTTATTTTTATACTACTATTTAAGAGACTAAAATATTCATTGCGATTTTTTACAGATGATTCAGGATATCCATGTCTTCCTTATTTATTGGTACCGTTTGCTCATCCAATTACACCACGGCAAGAAAATTTTATTGACGGTCCTGATGTATAGTAAAACGGTGCATTGTACTCCTCAAAGGAAGATTCAGATGCCTTTTAAAGGATATGGTGTTACACTATTCACCACATAAGGCCGCAAGAATAGTTTTAGCCTGTGTAATCCTGCATAACATTGTCAGTCATTATAGGGTAGAAGACCCAATTCCCCATTGGGACGAGATTGATCTTGAGCCACTTCCAGTTACTATCTTAGACCAACAAGATGTTGTACTAAGAAACAAGATGTTGCTTTGGGCCAACAAAGTTGACAAAATTTAGTGGATCAATATTTTAATTATTTTATATATATATATATATATATATATATATATATATATATATATATATAACAATTAATTGTATTGGTGTATCCGGTATGCGTTCTGTTATTCTGTTATTTAAAAAAAAACTCTTTTTTCTGTTAATTCTCTATATTTCGCTGATATTTTGTCAGCTTCATCAGGAGACAACTAAAATATCTGGTGAGAATAAACAATGAATCACTTACAGATTTAGAGTTAAAAATATTTTAAAAAGTTGTTGCACATAATATGTTTAAAACAGTACTGACAATATTGGCTAGAAGGTCACTAAGAATTAAATATAAAAACACAGCAAACAAAAACAACCAAGAAACAATTAAAACACAATAAAATTACACATTAAAAATATACAGGGTGATTTAAAATATAATTGTAAACAAAAAAATTATTTGAACATACTAAGAATATTACAGTAGATGTCTGCCTTGTAATTTACTACATAGTTTTCTCTATTTACAGTCTTTACAACACATTACAGAACAAAACTAGAAAGATGCAGTAAGACACGTAATAGAAGAAGAACAAAAAATGTGGGATCTCGATAACATAATCGATGCGACCGTAGAGACACAACCGCTAATTATTAACCCTTAAGAAGACTCGGATTCCGAAGTTGATCCTATTTATTTTGAATTTGAATAGTTTTCTAATCGTAATTATATAAGGTAAGTAATAGTAGTTGTAATAGTAAGGTATTAAAGGGGAAAGGCGCAAAATGTCTACTGCCAAAATGTTCAATGTGTTTTAAATGTATCCATTTTTTTTTCAAATCTTGAGAAAACTACAAAGCATTTTTCAAAAAATT